TGATTTCCAAAGTGGCTGTACAAGTTGGCACTCCCACCAGCAGTGGAGAAGTGTTCCCCTTTCTCCACATCCTCTCCAGCATAAACTGTCGTTGGTATTTTTGATTTTAGCCATTCTGACAGGAGTAAGATGGTATCTCAGAGTTGTTTTGATTTGCATTTCCCTGATGGCTAAGGATGTTGAACACTTTCTTATGTGTCTTTCAGCCATTTTAGATTCCTCTATTGAGAATTGTCTATTTAGTTCTGTACCCCACTTTTTAATTGGATTGTTTGGTGTTTTGGAGACTAGCTTCATGAGTTCTTTGTAAATTTTGGAGATCAGCCCTCTGTCAGATGTGGTGTTGGTGAATATCTTTTCCCAGTCTGTGGGCTGCTGTTTTGTATTGCTGACTATGTCCTTTGCTTTTTTTTAAGATGATATTTTTTCATTCAAATTATGTGGCAGTGAGTGTTAGGCCACTGGTCCCACCCCTATGGAGTTGACCATTGAGGGGAAGAGGCATCTAGAACTGAGCCACCCAGTAGACTCAGGTGACAACAGGGATCTATCTTTCTGTCTTCCTTCCTTTCTTCCCTCCTGTCTTCCCCCTCAGTTCCCCTCCTTTTCTTCTTCCTTTCCTTTCCTCTCCTCTCCCCTCTCCTCTCCTTCTGTTCCCTCCCTTCTCCTTTCCTTTTGCAGGGTCTCCTATATTCCAGCTTTGAACTCAAAATGTAGCCAGATGATTTTGAACTTCTTATTCTCCTGCCTCCACTGTCCAAGTGCTGAGATTATAGGTGCATGCCTCAACATCTGCCTTATATGATGCTGGGCAAGCACTCTACCAACTGAGCTGTATCCCCAGCCTTTGATTGCTGAGATTTCTTCTAAACTGATCTTGTTCAAATACACTGAACAGATAAATAGAAGCATCTTTCTTAAAGGAAGGGCACTGAAGATCCCATTTTTAACATGTACCACCACACCCCTCCCCCGGCCAGTGCCCGTGGCCCTGTGTAGACATGGGTCCTTTGAGCACAAGAAAGGCAGAAGCAGATCTGGGACTCTGTAGGGTTCCCTCACATCCATACCTTCACCCTTCTCCAAGTTCTTTGAAGAAAGGTAAGGAAGCTGCAAACTTGACAACAGAAGTGAAAAGCTCTGCTGTCACTCAGCATCTTTTGGCCCTACAGGAAAATCCAGTTTTTGTGTTTTCCTGCCCTTGAACATGGGAGTGCAAAGGAAATAGGTTTTGTTGGGGAAGTTGAGAATTCAGGTTGTGTAAGTGCTGGAGAACAATGCTTGTAGGGTACACTGGCACAGGCTGCTGTGTGACCACTTAGCAGGTAAAGAGCATCGAATTCTGTCAGAATCTGTCTCAACATGTCATGAAACCAGCACTGGCTTTGCATGCTGACACAGGAGGAGTGAGAGCCAGAAGGCCGTGTGTTGTCCTCAGTTGCAGGTGGCATTGTGGGCACTGAGTCTGCAGTTTAGTCTTGCCATTGGTGGCCATATAAGGCAAGCCTACACATATGAACTGTGAATATACCCACCCACTGACCCTTTCTTGTTCTCTCCCCAGCTTCTTCCTGGAGAAGAATATGTTTGTTTTCTTCTTGAACATTCTGCGGCAGAAATCAGGCCGATATGTATGTGTCCAACTGCTACAGACCTTGAACATTCTCTTTGAGAACATCAGCCACGAGACTTCACTCTGTAAGGATACTGTTTGCCATTTGCTGTTACTGCCAGGTGTCAGGCGGTTTCATATGGTCTGCTTCCTGAATATTTTAGTCTGCCCAGGCTACTCCAGTGGGCTTAGTGATTTGGGCAGTAGAAATGTGTTTGCTCGTTGTTCTGGAGAATGGGTATTCAATTTGAAGCTGACGTCAGGACTGGTTTCTGGTGAGGGCTTTCTTCTTAGCTTGTAGATATCCATTGTCTCAGTCAGTTTCCTATTACCATAACAACTCTGAGATTAGGTAATTAACAAAAATCTTTTTATTTCTTATGTGGATGGGTGTTTTGCCTGAATATATATCTGTGTCCCATTTGATGCCTGCAGAGGTCAGAAGAGGGCAGCAGATAACCTAGAACTGGAGTTAAAGATGGTTTTGAGCTACCATATGGGTGCTGGGAATCAAACCTAGGTCCTCTGGAAGAATAGCCAGTACACTTAACCACTGAGTCTCTCCAGACCTGAGAAACTATGTCATTTAAAGGAATGACCTTTATTTTGGCTTAAGATTTTGAAGGCCAAGACTTTCAAAGTTAGGCATTCACACCTTGTGAGGGTGTTCTTACCTCCTAACATTGCCTCAATTCAGGAACAGAGGTTATGGCAAATGAACCTTTGGGGACATTTTAGACACTGTACGTGGCCCTACCTGTGAGAGTGAGGTTAAGAGAGAGCTCAGCCTTTGGTCTCTATGACTCCTGTGGGTACACTAATTTTGTCAGGATTGAACCCCACCTTTCAACCTCATTTAACCTTAATTACTCTTGAAAGCCCTGTCATCACATGCAGTCACATCAAAAGTGACACTTGCAGTCTGTGAATGTGTTGGAGGCAGTTCAGTATGGTAGGGTTCTGTAAAAGACTAAGAGAGAGTTCTCTGAGTGAGTCTGGAGGGGGGGTGCATTCCCTCTGTATGGTTCAATTTTGAAGACCTAATGGCTGAGTAGTCCCCAGACTACCATGGTTCATGCCCTCCAGCCAGCACTTTTCAGAGCACTTGAGGTGGACAGACAGGTTTTACCCCCACCCCTTCAGTTTTGATTCCCAGAGAGCAAGAGTTTTACTCAGGCCTGCTCTCAGTTAGCCCAGTTTTTTCTTCCATAACAACCACTCCTGGGAGGCAGGGTTTGTGGAGTTCTCTCTCTCATTGTAACTCCAAGAAAGTTTGAGTCATAGGCCTAAAGTAACCATTCTGGCAAGTTCAGAATAGAGGAGAATGAGCTCAGTGGTCTTCAGTGGGCTGCAGGTATTTCCTAGGGACACTGCTGGCATCTGGAGCTAGTTTTGGTTGCCATAGTCCACCTAAGTACAGAGGGGCTGCTAAACATCCTGTGATACCTAAGACAGACCCTTATCAGTGCTGGGACGGAGCCAGCCTGACATCATTCTGTTCTAGCTAGCTTATTTCAAATGCAGCAGAGCCCAGCTCCTGCCTTGAGAGCAACAGAAATGGTGGTACTGAGTTCCTGGGACAAGTCTGGAAAAGGGTCAGGTCTGGAGAGCTACTGTTTGGCCACCTCAGCAATGGCCACTAGGTGGTGCTGCCACCACAGAGACCTCCTCCCCTGACCGCAGTCTGACAGATGGGGCTAATTCATGTCTCCCTGCATGGTTTCCCTTGTTATCAGCTTCTGTTTTGCTAGATGCAAAACAAGTGTGGTTTTTGAGCTCTGAGGGGGAAGATCCAACTCCAAAGCTCAGGCCCAGGGCCCAGCCGAAACTGAACACCCAGGGATTTTGCTGAGTCTGCTGGGACAATTCCAGTCTTGAGTTTTAGTATAGGGTCCCCTTGAGTTTTATTCTGGTGACCCTTTTGAACCCCATTTGGGCTAGGAATTAAAGACAGGTACTTTAGAAGCCTTAAATTCTTAGTGTGGCAGCTTGAAGGTCTGACACATACACAGTGAAGTGGCCTCTGCTGGCCAGCTGGCATATCCATCACTTTCTAGGATGTCTAGTACAAGGTTGGTAGCTGTCATCACCCGCCACTGTTATGTACATTGAGAATTTATCTAAGGCCTTGTGATCTTTAGCCAGCACCCCCACTTCCTGCACCACAACCCCTATGACCCTTCCTGTTCACTGCATCTATTCAAAAGTGATATGACATATACATGTGTGGGTACCCTGCTGTGAGAAACTTTGGAGACACAGCTCTGACTTTCTGGACAGTTTTTTAAAACATCTTTCAAGGCAGTTTTTCTCTATGTAGTCCAGGCTGGCCTCAAACTCTTGGTCCTCCTGCCTCAGCCTCAAAGTGCTAGGATTACAGTTATACACCACTATGTCCAGCTGATTTTGTTATTATTTTAGAAAAAAAGGAATCATTGTAAAGCAACAAAACTTCATTATGAATGTATGGCCAGGTGTCTGTAGCCTCCCACCCTACAACTCAGCCATATAGGCCATCTACTCACTCTGCTCCCATCCCATCTTCTGTTGTTCCTGCATGTGGCCCTCCATGGTCTGGCTCACAGCTGTGTTGTTACTAAATGATGACTGTGGGCATCTAGGTGCTTTCCAAGTTTTCACTATTAGACTTTTACAGGGAGCCATTGCACAGAGACCACTATTGCCTGTTTGTTTGGTGACCTAAGTGACAGAGGCCCAAGAAACTTGAGATTATTTACTGACTTCCAGGTTTATTATACAGAATACCACAGGATGTCAGCCACAAGTGATAGGGTGGAAAAAAATCAGCCACTGGTCTCTGGTGGTTCCATAACCCCCACAGAGATATCTTTTGGAGAACTTAGAAAAGTCCCTATGGGGAGCAGATGAGCCCTGTGCACAGCTGTCCCAGGTATAGAATGTAGCCAGAAACTCTTCACATACCTGAAGCTGCTAGTTTTTGTGTCATTTGTGGCCCAGGAGTTACTGGCCTGTAAATACAGAGCTCACTAAGATGTCCTACATCCTTTCTTATGTCAGCCCGTTGCCCTTCCTCAATTGTCCCTAGCCACACCGTGACAAGCATTCCAGTTATCAAAAGCACCTAGGTTTTATGTTACATGGGAAATCATAGGTGGATACGTACGTTTGGGGCAGTTTAAAGAATGGAATAGTACATCGCCACAAAGAGGGGGAGTTAGTGCGGCTGTCACACACAGCAGTATAACACACTCTGATGTGGTGATTAGTGAGAGGCCAGACACAGGCAGCAGTAATCCAGTCTGATTCCTCTCTGTAAGGTTCACAAACAGGTACACAGGTGTATAGAGATTGGGGAGTTAGAGTGGGCCCTGCCTTGAGGGGAGATACTGATAGGGCAGGGGTATGAACCAGCTTCCTGAGGAACTACAAATGTACTGTGTCTTACCTGAATGGGCCCTACAGAGCATACATCTGTATAATATCCCTCAAGTCAGACACCCGAGGTTCACATGCTTCTGTGTTAAATGCATATGCGCAGGAACTTGAGGTTATGTAGGGTTCCATTTCCACATACAGCAAGCTTACCCATAACACTTGTGAACACGACTCATTTTACAATGTGTGAAGATTTTTGGACCCCACCCTACCCTCCTGGTCTCTCCTGGAGCTGCCCCTGAGAGCTATCTCAGGAACTGTCACTATCAGGGACATGAGTTCAATCTGGCTGCAGTATCTAACACCACAATGCTCACTAAGGTTGGTTTGTCTGATCTTGCTGGCTAGGTAAGAGGTGATAGCATTGATGCCTTTACCACCTTAGGTGTATCCCTTCATAAGATATATGCTCTGTTGACAAGGCCAGCCTTCCAACAGAGGTGGATGTCTTCAGGCAAGGTGCTTCCTAAGTGATGGTTGGGGAATTAGGATCTAAGGTGTTTAACCTGGCCCTGGACACATGATGGGGATGTGTCCTTTATGAAACTGTCACTAGATAGACAGATTGAAGACGTGTGCAGCCCTTCCTAGCATTCAGGCATGCCAATGTCTTTTGATGGCCATATAGGGCAGCTCCTTATTAAAATGAGGCACCTTTTACCCTCATTTGCAGGAGGTTTGTGACAGCGACCCCATACCTGTTCTTCTTGCCCTTGACTCCATGCTGAACTTTGCTAGCAGTGGACAGAAAACACACATGGGTTTGTCCTTTTTGGTTCACAGAGGAGGCCACAGGCTTCTCCCTGGCAGGACTATGTTCTTTCAGGTGGCCTGCCTAGTACCTGATTTCTTTGATGGGTAGAGGTTAAGCTGCCCATTGTGCTCAGCAGGTTGAGTTCCTGTGCTTATTACCCAACAGCCTTTGCTGGCATTTTCCTTTAGTACAGGCTCACCTATTTGACTCTGTTTTTTCTCTCCTAGATTATTTACTGTCTAATAACTATGTAAATTCGATCATTGTCCATAAATTTGACTTTTCTGATGAGGAGATCATGGCATATTACATCTCGTTCCTGAAAACACTTTCGTTAAAGCTCAACAACCACACTGTTCATTTCTTTTACAATGAGGTGAGTGGTGAGCAGCAGGTATGTTGTGTCAAGCTAATCCTAGTGTGCTAGCCTTTGCTTTGCATGGTCAGGAGTTTGTCTACAAAGCACTTTCCACAGTACAGGCTTTGGCATACTTGAAAATAATTATTTATTTTTAAATGTATATGTGTGTGTAGGATGTACACATGTGTACAGTATTCTGGGTGCATGGAGGCCAGGTAAGAATTCTGAAAATCCTCCTCTGTTGTTCTCTGCCTTGTTCCTTTGGATCCCTTCCTGAACCTGGAGCTTGTGTTTTTCAGGTAGGCTGGCAGCCAGCAAGCCCCAGTGATCCTCCTTTCTCTGCCTGTCTCAGGCTCATGTGAGACCATGTCGGGTTGTTACATGGGTGCTGGGGTTGGAACTCTGGTCCTCCTAACTGCTGAGCCCCACACACTTTTTTTTTTTAATTGAACAAATTACCTTTCTGTTTTCAATGTAAAATTCAATTTACTTGGCAGGGAGGGGAAATATTCAGAGGTTATCTTGTTGAAAACAGCAGAAACTCCATTTAGAGATGGCTTTTCTACTCTGTGCTGTGTGACCTAGAGAACTTCCAGACCTCTCTGAGCCCCCCTCCTTTGAGAAATGAGGTGAAACTATATAGCTGGAATGGGTTTCAAGGACTGGACTAAATGAGATGGTTATCTTCAGAGTTGTGTGAAGTGATACATTCGCTGTCCTTGGAGGCCTGTGTCCCTCACATTCCTTGAGAAAGCTATTAACAACTTAGGTAATTTCATCATGTCTACACTAATATCTCTAAGGAGCTTAAGAATACTTAAAAGTACAGACACAAACTGTGCTGGGCCTGTTCATACCAGCTCACTGTACCAGAGGCTCAGGCTTTCCCAACCTCCTGCTCAGTAACTGCAACAGGCATCTGTTTAAACTCGGTCCCATATGGCCACAGGGTGGCTGCTGCAGCTCCTGACATCACATAGTCACATGCTACCGTCAGAATTTCTAATATTACGTCCTTTCCTGTATCCCTTTTGCGAACACTTTCTCAGAAAGTCTCTCCCAGACTTCTCCCTATGTCTTACTGATCAGAATTGCATCATATTCTTGTTAGTGTGTCTGGGCTTTAGCATTGGCTTAGTAGGACTGTTTAACACAGTATGCTAAGAAGCTCATGTCCTGAAGTCTGGATGGGGTTGGAGGATCTACTTTACTATTAGGGTGGTTAACTTATGCTGGCTGTGCATCAGAGACCACAGCTCCTTTTTAGGGACCTCTTCCCAGGGCTGTCCAAATGTCCTTACAGTCAGCTTGCTTATAGTAGCCCAACAGCCCACAGCAAACAGTGCTGCTTTCTGCAACCAGCCTCATAAGTCACACACTTACTTCTGTTACACTCTGGTCACACAGGCATCATCTTCCTCTGTGGGTGGGTACAGTATGAGTGTGACATAGGTGGTAAACATGTTTGGGGGCCATGTTGGAGGCTATCATACAGCTTTTGGCAGGTATCTCCTGAGTGGTTGTCACACATGCCCAAAGCCTGTTTTGAAGTCAGATCATAATCCCAAGCTTTTTTTCTGAGTTTGGGCACCCTCATTGTTATGGCAACAGTCTGAACCCTGATTTTCTTGGTTCAATAGTCTCTCAGGAAGAAATGCTAGCCAAGAGCCATAAAACATGTATGCACTTGAGAAATGAACACAATAGAGTCCTGTGTCTGGCATACAGTAGGTGTTCGGAAACGTGTCCAGGGAACAACTTTCACCCAAAGGAAGAGAACCCAGGGCAGAGGGAGGCGCTCTCTCTCTCTCTCTCTCTCTCTCTCTCTCTCTCTCTCTCTCTCTCTCTCTCTCTGTGTGTGTGTGTGTGTGTGTGTGTGTGTGTATGTGTGTGTGTGTGTGTGTGTGTGTGTGTGTGTGTGTGTTTTAGTTTCCTCTTCAGTCTGAGCCAAGGCAGTAGCTGCCTCTTTCTAGGTTCATCTTCGATTGTCAGTCCTCAAAATGGCATTGCCCCTATAAGACAGTTGTTACTTTGAGCTTCCAGCTCCATTCCAGGAAGAGCTGGCCTAGAGAATCTCCACCATCATGTCTTCCCTGAGCCACTCCTAAGCCGGGCTCCTGAACTATGTAGAAACATTGGCCACAGGAGGGCAGCAAAGTACACTGCCAGGCTGCTTCTGCTTTGTCTTCTCAGGCTAAGGTTTTGGATATCTTTTTTTGAACAATTTCATTGGTTCTCTTCGTTCCATTTTAACAGCAAGAGACTCCCGAGAAACTCTGCCTCCCTGATAATAGAGAACGGTAGAGCAGCCAAAAGTTGCTGAACTTAGTCCAACTTAGTCTTTACTCAAGCAGTGTCTGACGTCACTACACTGTCGTCTGTGCTCTGTAGCTATCAAGTGCTAGGCTAAGCACTGAACCAGAAATGACCTCATTTCATCCTAGAGCCTAGAGAGTGGGTGCTGTTACCACGTTTTATAGATGAAGAAATGAGCTTGAAAATACCTCCTCATGCTGCTAAAGGTAATAGGCCAGACCAGGAAACTACGTGACATTCTGTGGACCCTTTTCTCTCCCCTGGCTTCCTCACTTCCCATCATGGTGACATCATTTTTTTCTTCATTTATCACAGTCTGACAAATTTCAGGAAGGTTTGGAATATGACTGTCCTGTGGATTTATAACTTTTGGGTCCATTTTCTGTTTTAGCACACCAATGACTTTGCCCTGTACACAGAAGCCATCAAGTTCTTCAATCATCCCGAGAGCATGGTTCGCATTGCTGTGAGAACCATCACCTTGAATGTCTACAAAGGTAAGTTTCCTCATGCACTAATGCCTCAAATTCTGGGCCATGTGCTGGCTCCCATGCACCTGAGCACAGTTCCTGAGTCACTGGAGAGGTTGCCTAGTATGAGCCGTGGCCGCTTGTCTCACAATAGACATGCAGGAACATCATTATTCCTTAGGGACATCTTTGTACTGCATGTTCTAGTATTGTCCCCTTGCTGCCACACAGAATATCCTGAGAAGTCTGTGTGGGATTTGGAGTGGCCATAGGATAGTTGAATGAAGCAAAACTGTCTTGAGATTTTTTTTTGCTTACGATTTTTGTGTTTTGGCTTATAAAATATATTGTATTATACTGTTTTATATTTCATCTTTAAATATGCATGAGAGCATTTCACATCACAAGCAGTAGAGGACAGTATTGTATTCCCAACCAGTCACCAAGGCCAGTGCTTACAGATTCCTCCTTTCTCTTTGGATGTTCTTAATGCTCCATGTAGTCTCCAGCAGGGAGCCTTTCCAGGAGCCCTGTCTGTGCTGCCATATAGACTGGCTGCAGGTTTTTGGAGCTGGAACTGCCCCTCTAAGACAATACCTAAAACCTAGTTAATTTCCTTGTAGTAACCACTGTGAAGCTGAGCCTCTATTTCTTGGCCATCAAGGGCTTTGATTTGTGTTATTTGAGATGCCCAGTTGGGGGCCAGGGGAGGCTCCCAGCTTTGGGATTACTTTAAATTTAAGAGCCTTTCTCTTAATTGGGTCCAGCCAGAGAAGGAAAACTGAGGGTCTATAGACCCCCACCAGCCCTTAGACACATTTTAGATGGCTCAGATGGACTTGAAAAATATGTGAATAGCCAGGCTTACATAGAGAGGCCTCGTCTCAACAACTACACACACACACACACACACACACACACACACACACACACACACTACTCCCCCCAATTAAAAATTTGGAGCTTTTGCACAGTGTGCATTTCTGACTTGAGGATGTATATTTGGCTGTTCTGGGCTCACTCTCCCATGGGGAAATGTTCAAAGGCTGAGAAGCAACTGCTCCTTTCTAGGCTGGTCTGACTCCCCAGTTTGCACTCCCAGCCTTCTGACTTCATTCACTGTGTAGCTGTTGACCTGGCAGACTTCTGAGTTTGCAACCTTGGCTGTGCACAGTTGGTTCCACTGCTCTATGCTTTCTGTTTTTTCTTGCTCTTCTAACTGTGTCTTTTGGTTTAGATGCCTCCTGCCTAGGCTCTGTCCCTCTGGGCTGCTGTCTCACCTTCCCAGTTCCTAACCCTGTTAACTGTTGTCTGTTTTTGCCTTTCCTCCAATGCCGATTCCTGTTCCTTATTCCAGTGTCATGTAAGTTATTAACCTCTGGTTTTCCTCTTTCTGAATTTGCCTTACAAGTAAACACAGAGACTTGCTTTGAGAGTGCTGCATTCTCAGTATAGTCAGGTCTTGCTCATTGCTGATACGTAGCCTCTCCAGTACCACCTGCAATTATAACAATAACAATTGAGTGTGTTAATTGAGAGAATAGCACCAGCACAGCTTTGTTTGATGAATAAGATCAACATTTCCAAGTGTTTCCAGGAAAGACAGATGGTAGCAAGGCTTTTTCATGGTGGTTTGGGTTTGTTTGGGTGTTTTGTTTTGTAAAACTGCCCTGAATTATTTTGGTAGCTCACTGTTTCTTTTTCTGTGAATCTTCTCAGTGGATAACCAGGCCATGCTGCACTACATCAGAGACAAAACTGCTGTCCCATACTTCTCCAATTTGGTCTGGTTCATTGGGAGTCACGTGATTGAACTTGACAACTGTGTGCAGACAGATGAGGAGTAAGTAATGCTCCAGTGGTCTCATAGGAAACCAGGGTGGTGAAGGGAGCATTCTATTTCCACCCAGGAAATAGAGAGGAGAGCAGCACAGGCCCCTTTGTAAGCTGACTGGGGACTTCAGACTACAAAGGGTTCTCCTTACCTGTTGAGGACATGCCTGTAGATGGGTGCTGACTGGGGGCAGTACTTTCCTAGCTGGGCTTTGAGACTGCTGATCAGCTGAGGATGTGTGAATCACCAAAATGTAGAGCTGGGCAGATGGTTCACTTGCTAAAGCACTTGCCTCATAGACTTGAGGACCCGAGTTCTAGCCCCAGAACCCACCTGGAATGCTGGGTACAGTGGCCAAGGCAGGCAAATCCCTAGAAGCTTTCTGGCCAGCTAACCTACTTGGTAAGTTCCAAACCAGTGAGATACCATGTCTTACACAAAAGGTATCAGCACCTGAGGAATGACTCCTGAGGTTGTCTGCTAACTTCCAAGCCTGCACACACATGTGTACCTGCACACAAACATGTACATATACTCTGCCCTCACTCCAAACAGACACGAAATGGTGAAAATGTGATCTGTTCATGTAGTTGAATAGTATTTAACCATTAATGTCTGAAGTGCTGAAATGCACAATGATACGGATAAACCTCAAAAACATTGCCCTGATTGAAGGGAGCAGACCCACCCTGTGATTTCACTTCAGTGCTCGGAAGGGACAACTCTAAAGACAGAGTAGACTAGTGGTTTCCTAGGGGTGGGGCACAGGAGGAGGGGGCATTTCTGAGATGGCAGGGACAGAAAGCCACTATTGAAGAGAACCACGCTTTTGGCAGATGAGATCCAAGGTGTTCTTAAATCAGATATGATGAATGTACGTGGGTCTCATAGAGTACTTGCTGAGGCCTTGAGTTCAATTTCTAGCATCCCGAGAAAAAACAAGAATGTTAAAAACCCATTATGTATGTGAAATGAGTGAGTGTTACTATAAGTGAATCATATCTCAAGAAAAACTTTAAAAGATAATTTAAGATGGTGGTGATGACTGTCCTCAGAGTGATGACTTGACGTTCCATATTGTATGTTTCTGTCTTGGTACTGTTGACCATCTGTGGGACTGGGCACTTCATTGCTGTGGTTCCATCTTTGCCTTGCAGAATTTTTAGTAGCCTCGATGGCCTCTTCTATGCATTAGTGTCTAAAGGTACCTCTCCAAGTCAGGACAACCAAAAATGCCTCCTGACATTACCCTTAGCCAAGAAACCACTGCCCCAAATAAAGGCTTGTAAAAAGATACTTAGATGGAGTCAGGACACTGGAGGAATACAGAGAGGAGATCTCCTGGACAAGGGGGTGGGGCAGGCAGCATGTGCAGTCTAACACTAGGAAAGAAGCAAGGGTGGGTGACGAAAATCCATGTGGATCACCGAGGCACTGTCCTCCAGAAAGAACAAGGTGCTTCAGGGAAGGATATGAACTCATAGTTTGTGTAGATCTGCAATGACCACTTATAATAATGTCAGTTCTAGTTACTCAGCAAATACTGAGGGAGACAGTAGGGAGTCAGAGCTCTGTGGTGAGGGGAACTCAGTGAGCAGCATCTAAAAAGGCTCAGGTACAGAGTACAAGTCAGTGCAGGTTTCACAGAAGCCTGGGAGGGACTACCTGCAGAAAGAACCAATGACTAAGGTTTCCTCAGCTGGGCCTGGTAGCTCAGGCCTGTCATCCCAGATACTTGGGAGGCTTAAGCAGGAAGATCAAAAGTCAAGACCTGTCTTGGCTACATAGTGGGTTCAAGGCCACTTCCTGGACAACTTAGTAAGACTCTGTCTCAAAATAAAGTCAAAAAGAGGGCTAGGCATGTAATTCAGTGGTAGAACATGTGCCTAACACACATGAGGCCCCAGGCTTAGTCCCCAGTATTATACTTACAGTTCCTTCTCTGGGTTGAGGAGCTGCTGGCTCAGATCTGCCCGATGCCATTAAACCCACCCATGTGCATTACTTCAGGAAAGTTCTAAAGGAAAACATCAAAAGTGAGCTATGTTAAAAGCCAGTTTTTGATGGCATTTTAAGGGTTTTGTGTGCGTGTTCTGGGTCTCTGGTGGGGTGGCTCATAGATTCTTACTACATTTTGACTTTGCCATGTGGATTTCCTACTGGTGTCTAGTGAAGGTGTTTATTTTTTTTTTCTGCAGATTTTTTTCTTATTTGAATTAGAAACAAGATTGTTTTACATGCCAATCCCAGTTCCCTCTTCCTCCCCTCATGCCCTACCATCCCCCTCCAGCTAAGACCCTACCTATCACATATCCTTTCTGCTCCCCCTGGATGGTGAGGCTATTTCCGAGGTTTCCTCACTGAAAACCATGATCCTGGGGTCTGGATCATTCCCATGCTGGTATCCCAGCTATCAGTCTGGGGACCAAGAGCTCCCCAATGTTTATATATATTTGGTTTTTCAAGACAGGGTGTCTCTGTATAGCTTTGGAGCCTATCCTGGCACTTACTCTGTAGACCAGGCTGGCCTCAAACTCACAGAGTTCCGCCTTCTGAGTGCTGGGATTAAAGGCGTGAGCCACCAATGCCCAGTGAAGGTGTTTGTAGTATGAAGTAATTGCCCTGAACTATGGCCTGCTGTAACTTACTTGCATGATACATGGTACTTCTAGAAGAATATTACGCAAGTTTTAGATTGACGGGGGTGGGGGGGCATGCAAACCAAGCTGTCAGGTTATAAGTCCCAACAAATATCAATAGTGGATGTTCATTAGTGGTGTCCCCACTGGAACCTTTTCTTTCCTCTGGCTTTTATCTTCCAAGTCTCCTGTCTTCTGAAATTGCCGTCTGTAGCTTAGGTATTAGTAATGCCTATACAAACACAATGCCCTTACTTCCCAGCTGATTGCTCTTTGCCCACCTTCTGCTTTGGAGGTAGTAAAGTCTATTTCTGGCTGCTTTGACCGTGTCCCTTTGACTGAACCCTGAAAACATGGCCAGCACGGTTGTTACTTGATGCAACATCACAGAAGCTACCAGCACAGACTTGAGGAGGTGTGTGTATCCTTGTCTGTGTCCCTACCATGTGGCCAGAGCTGCAGAGTAGGGCCTACTCTCTCTACAATTCCTTCCCTCTGGAGTACTTGGCTTGGTAGGCTTTCTGGCTCCCGTAGTACTGTTTATCAGTGGAGCTGGGTAATCTTACCATATTGGCCAGTGAGTACTTTTGTGTAATGGTTTACTACAAGGGCTTCACTATTTTTCTTAGCTTAGCCCCACTTGTTTGGAGCTGCAGTTGTAGGGTGCATGTGCCAAGGCCATCAAGAGGAAAGAGCCCCAGGAGTTCTAAAATGTTTTTCAGTGGTCCTGTGTATTATTCTTTTGTCCGTCTTCCCACCAGGGACAGTATCTATACCTTACCTAGTTGACTACCCAATGGGTGTGTGTATGAATGTATCTCCACATGTGTCTTCTGTTTAAGCTGAAGGCCCCAAACCTTGGTCTCTGGGCTGAGAGGAACATTTCTCTCACAGGCACCGGAATCGGGGGAAACTGAGTGACCTGGTGGCTGAGCACCTGGACCACCTGCATTATCTCAATGACATCCTAATTATCAACTGTGAGTTCCTCAATGATGTGCTCACAGACCACCTACTCAACAGGCTCTTCCTGCCACTCTATGTGTACTCACTGGAGAACCCGGAAAAGGTGAGTCTTCAGCTGGCCCACTGCCTCCTGCAGCTGTCTTCTGGAAGAGAAAGTGGAGCAGCCTTTATGGGGAGGAAGAAGCAAAGCTTCACACTGTAAGGAAAGGCCTTGCAGAGTCCACTGGTCCTCCCTTCTTGATGAGAAAGTGACCAAGAAATGTAAGATCCCTGATATCAGAGGGACGCAAGAGACCCTAGAATCAGCTTCTATGCTCCTGTTCGCCCTTACCTGAGGTGCTGCCATCCTCCTAGCTTTCTCTGGTGCTCACTGGAGCTTATTCTCAGACAACCACCAGGCAGCACTAGAACCTTCATGTGAAATGCGTAGGAAGTGCTGGGGCATGCTCGGGGAAAGGTTCCCTGAATCCTCCATGGGGGTAGGGGGTGATGACTTCCTAGAATAGCATCTGCCCTCAGGGGTTCTGGTTCAATGGGCTTAGGTTAGGGCAGGGAATCTAAATGTGTAACCTATCTCTAGGTGATCCCCAAGAGAAAAGCTGCTTCAGGGAGAGAAGCCTCAGTTTTCCCTTCAGAGTTAAGGTTGAACACAGATGTATCCAGAATAGGCCTTATAAGAAGCAGAACCACCAGCTGTCTTCCTGCAAGGACTTCATTAGATGTGTCCCAAAGACTGGTGCCTGCTTTTTGGACCGAGACATGGTCATTCTTCCAATCAATAAGTAATACAGCAAAAGGAAGTCACAACTCTGACTTGCACTGGAGCAACTCTAAGAGACTATCAGTGAGACCTGGGATTGTAGTCATTTCTACAAGTCTTTTCCCTTGGACAAAGCATAAAAACAGAGTCCTAAAGATCATCAATCCCTACCCCCCAGCTCAGGACTGGACTGACCTGGGCATCTTGAAGCTGAGGGCAAACAAGGAGCTAACTTTGTTGTTGTATATTTGTTTTGTTTTTGAGGCCAGAGGGTCCCAAGTCCTACCTTCCCCATGTTGTGAAAGTCCCTTCCTGAAATAGGCCTGGGGTGGGTCTTCTGGGGCCCTCAGTGCCCATCTAGGAAATGAGTATTCTGTAATTCTGGAAGTTTGCTCCTGCATTGGAAGCCAAGCCAGGCTATGGTGCAAAATTCTTGGGGGAAAGCCTAGCCTCCATGAGAACTGGGCTCAAGCTGCACTTGTCTACCCCAGAGTGGGCTTTTGATTAGCGCAGAGGGGAAGGGGTTGCATTTCTTTTTTGAACTGAGGACTTGTGGTCTTCTATGTTTATGTCTGCCTTTTGTGACCTGAGCCACCTCTTTTTCCTCTGTCTTTTACTAGGGAGGAGAACGCCCAAAAATCAGCCTACCAGTGTCCCTCTATCTTCTCTCCCAGGTATGTTTGTTCTGTCTCCAGTGTCTCCTACACATATGGGGTCCTGTGGTGTGTCCAGGGTGATTATCTAGCTCTGTGGCCCCTATCTTGAAATTAAGTCCTAACATAGAGAAAGAGTGTTCTGCTTTCCATACACCAAGTAAGACTCAACCTCATAGTAGAAGATGGAAAGTAAAGGGAAATGATGCCTGGCATCCATGCTGTCAATTTCTAGATGAGGCTTCCCAAACAACTGGTTCTGGTTTCAGATCACCTTCTGAAGGGACCTCAGAACAGCCATCGCCTAAGATTTGAGTCCCAAACAGTTTGCCTGTCTCCCTCCTTAAACAACTGTTTCTTCCTTCACCTCTTGTAATTATGTAATATTTACAAGAAGGGGAAAAACTCCATGGTGACCCAGTTACATAACTTCAGGACTATTTTTATTACCAGCAGTCCAGATTTGTGGGCCACTTCATCTGGCTGTCAAGTAGCCAGGTGTTTACTTAGAGTTGTGATCTCATGTCTGCCATGTTACCAGGGTTGATTTCCTTTAGTGAGATTTTCTTCTACTTGGACCCCCTACTGTTTCAAGTTTGGGGTAATGCTGGCTCCTGCTAGCCTGAGAACAGCTCCAGCTACCATCTTCCCACAGTGGGGAGACTGATTGGATCCAGACATAGTGTGACCACTGCTTATGCCCTGGAGCCTTGTTCTGGAGGCTCTATTTGCTCAGAACTCTGCCTGAGGCCTGCTGTGTCTCAGCCCCCTCTGTGCCACCAAGCTCAGCACAGGACAGCTTCTCCCGGCAGACCTCTGTGCTGACTCCTTGCAAGCCTGCGAGCATCTCCTGCTGGGAATTCGGGGCATCTGGAAAGGCACAAACAGGTCAGTTGCTCAGCTCCAGGAGTCCAACTGAAAAGCTCATTCTCAGGTCTCCTAGCTGTTGGAGCATCACATAGGCAGGTTTTCTTCTGAGGAGTGTGGTCACTAGCTCCTGTGACTGCTCCTTGAGCTTTTTCTCTGAGAATCATCTTTTACTGTCTTAGAGAAGGACTGGTGGCCCAGGCCACTCATTGATTCTTTCAGTATCTCTGAAAACACAACTTTAATTCATTGTTCCTTAGATGTCATAGCCCTTAAAAAGATCTCTTCTAAACTCAAAATGTTGGGCTGGTGAAATGGCTGAACAGGTTAAGTGTTTGAGGACAAGTCTGATGACCCAAGTTGATCCCGGGACCTACATGTTAGAATAAGAGAACCCCCCACCCTCTATCTGTTTTCATGTCCGCATACCACATGCCATGGTGCTTATATGTCCACACACATACACATAAAACTAAATAAATGTAAAACAAAAATTAAAAGTCCTGAGCCTTAGTTGGGTGTGATAGCTCATGTCTTTAATTCCAGCACTCAAGGTGCAGGCAGATCTTGTGAATTTATAGCCAGCCTGGTCTACATCATGAGTTCCACGCCAGTTAGTACTATATAGTGAGACCTGTCTCAAAGATAGAGAGATAGAGATAGAGATAGAGAGAGAGAGAGAGAGAGAGAGAGAGAGAGAGAGCTTTAGTCCTTCTTCCTTCCTCCCCTACACTGTCATTTAGCTAAATTATAATGTGGCCTAAATGTGTGAAAGCATAAAGTTCAGTTTAAATGCTGTGTCCTTAAAACATCTATATCCCTGTAAAATTGATGCATACTTACAAATATTGTCAGCATATTTTCAGTAGCTACCTTGAAAACTCACATCAGTGGCAGTAATTTAGTACAAGCGATGCCATCTCCTAAAACTAAGCTGCCTCTCATCATAAGAACATGGTGCAGATAGCCTGGCCTGGGCACACTTCCACATCTCTCCTGTGGGGATCCCTCCCACCATGCTCCTGGTTCAGAGCCAGGAAAATGAGTACTACATGCAACTACCCACAAGGATCTGTCCACCTACAGGGATCCATCTATCTGCAGTGATTTGTCCACAGGAAAGGGTCAGTACACAAGCAGAGATCCGTGTACAGGCAAAGATCCACCCACAGAGATCCCTCCACAGGCAGTTCTTCCATAGTCAAGAATCTATCCATAGGCAAGGATCTGTCCATAGTCAGAGATTGGTCCATAGATAGACATCTATCTGCTAGGACCTGTGTACCTGCCAGGGATCAGGAATCCTTGTATATGGTGGATATATCACACACTGTACTACATCTATTGACATCTATTGCTTTACATTTTTAAAATTTATTATTAGTATATATGTGCCTGAAGTAGGGGTTAGCATATGTGCCATAGTGTGCATGTTAAGGTCAGAGGACAACTTTGTACAGTCCTCTCCTAGTGTGGTTGCCCAGCTTGCTGAGCCATCTCACTGGCTTACTTCTACATTTTAAAACAAGGTAGTAAATGTAAAAGGAGGTTTCTTGTCCTGCTCTCCAGTTCCCAAGTAACCACTCTAAAGCTTAATATTAATTACAATTGCTTGGCCAATGGCCCAGGCATATTACTGACTAGCTCTCACAATTAAATTAACCCATTTTTACTAATCTGTGTATCACCATGTGGCCATGGCCCACCAGCAGTGCCCTGACATCTTACCCCTTAGGCAGTTCCATGGCCTCTCTATGACTCTGCCTTCTTTCTCTCTGTATCTCTGTTTGGATTTCCTTCCTGGCTCTATTCTGCCTGGCCATTGGCTAAAACAGCTTTATTCATCAACCAATAAAAGCAACACATTCACAGCATACAGAAAAACATCTCACATCAAGGTTATGTGTCTAGGCCAACTTGACAGGCCAGTTTTGAACACCCTGATTCCTAAAGCCACTCTTCTGAGCATGAGGCAGCAAGGGGCTGACAACCAGAGCTTTCTGCTTTATATCCCAGCCTGACTGGACCTTCCTCTGCCTCCTGTGGCTTTCACGTACAACACTGCTGTGACCCAGCATGTTGAAACCCATACCAGGGCTTGGGATAATTCCAGTGTTGGACTCTCAGAATCACTGCCCCTTTACCAGTCCTTGATTGCTCTTATGCTAGAACTTGGCACTAGCATACCACAGAAAGGAAGGAGTATACTGGTCAGGCAACCACTCCTTTCCCATAGTGCTTCACTTGAGCAGTGATGGTGTTGATGTCCTCCCAAGAAAGAACAGCTGGCTAAAACAGGCAATGGGGGCAGGGTGGTGGTAGAAGCCTTCCAAAGTTGAGGGGCTGCTTTCTCCTTGATGGGACCCATCCTCAGTCTTGGTATTTTGGATCAGGAAGGAGTAGAGTGGAGGACTACGCTCCTCAATACATATTCCATCTTCCTCCTTTCACCAGGTCTTCCTCATTATACATCATGCCCCACTGGTGAACTCTCTGGCTGAAGTCATTCTGAATGGTGATTTATCTGAGACATACACAAAGCCTGCGCAGGATGTTCCCAGAAGTTCTGTAAGTCACTCTGGACTGTGTCTACACTTTGATAAAAAGCAGTACTTGTTTTGTTAATTCGTATTTCTCTGAAGTAAGAAAACAATATTTTTATTATACATAAGTGATGATGTGTAAGGTGGTCTGAGATACAGGGAATCTAGTCACAGTCTTTAGATGTGCACCTGAGGGAATCTTAAGTTCCACATCAGCAGTGGATTTGACCAGTTGGGTGTTGCAGAATGGATTGTATAACTCATGGTCCTTAGATGTTATGTGTACAAGGCACTATTTCTGGGACAGAATGAGAGTTGAGAGAATAACCTATCTAAGATACATATATCCAGAGGTTGGGTAGTGACCATCTGTGAATGATGCAGGTCCAGTGTGAGAACAGTAGGGCATGCCAATACAGCAATCTGGACAGCTTTTCCTTTTGCACAGCTGCTATCCCACTCAACCTGAAGTCATTCTGGGGAATATTGATGCCATATTCTCAAGTCATCTTGTTTCCAGGGAAGTGGAAGTTCTTGGCTTCTAGCTAATTACTAAGCTCTATGGACTAAGCATGTCTAGCCATGTTAGATTTTGTGGAGCTTAGCATTGTGCTTTGCACACTAAGGAAGGGAAACACCTGGGGCCAGGACTGACTTCCTGGACTCTTTCTTGCTTGTCTCAGTGCTTTGATGTCATTCCTTCTACTACTCTGCTCAGGTGTCCTGAGCCCCATGCTACCTGGGGACTATCCCAACTTGTCCTTTCTCTCCCAACCCACCTGTGTCCTTACTGAATCCACTGCTGGAAAGGGCCTCACACATGCCTCCTCAGAGGTCTCATCCTGTTGAATTCCTTGTGGCTGCTATCATATCTGTAGTTATATAAGGCTGTGAAGTGAGTTCCTGCAGGCATCTGAGAGTAGCAGAAAACGTCTTATACCAGGACTGTTTCATGAGGTCTTATCTCTACTACTGGTACTCCAGCAGGAGGCCCACATGAATATGTGGGGCATAGTAGAACCTGTGTTATCCACTGCATGTATGAGTGAAATGTGATCCTATAGATGGAAGGCTTTTATGTATGCACATGTGTGTGCAGTGCCTGTGGAGGCCAGAAGAAGTGTTGGATTCTATGGAGCTGGAGTAACAGGTGGTTGTAAGCCACCCACTATGGGTGCTGGGACCTGAACACTGATCCTCTGCAAGAGCATCAAGTGTTCTTAATAGCTGAGCCATCTTTCCAGACCTTTCTATAACCTCTTAAGTAGGTTTTGCTGAATGGATGCAATAACACAGAACCAATGCAGCAAAAGAAGCAGAGCCCCAGCCAACTGTCTAGCCCCCTACTAGCTGGATGACCTTGAGTAAGTTGTTTCATCCCACTTAGAAATCAGGGGAAGTGAGCCGGGTTCCAGGGGCTGACAGTAAGGACAGAGAAATTAGATCCCAAATGCTAGACAAATGCCAGCAGATTGCAGCCTGATCCTCAAGCCCCCTTGGTTTATTCTTGAAGTGGTCAAAGGAAAGTATAATGCGCTACCAGCATTGAAGCTTAGAGTCTCGGAGACTAGTGAGTGGTCAGACAGTCTAGTCCTTGTTATGCACATTTCTGCAGGAACCACCTCAGAGGCTGCTCCCAAGAGACATATTTGTTATTTATTTTTCCTTGTCTCCCACCCTGCCTGCTGCTAATTGACGCTCCATTTGTATTAATAACTTAATGTCTTAGGTCCTTTTAGAATCTTGTGTGTGACACTATTTCTAAGCCCTAGAATAGCTGCCTAGGCTCTTCCCAGAAAGTCTTCCCTCAGCAGTGCTGAAGTTAGACTAGGGGTGGTTGTTCACAGGTTATTTTACGTAAAGGCAAGAACAATTAACATGAGTTTCACCCTCTTAAGCGTGTGTGTGTGTGTGTGTGTGTGTGTGTGTGTGGTCAGAGGTTGATGCCATATGTCTTTCTCCATTGCTTTCTACTTTGTTGTTTTTTTTTGAGACAAGTCTCTCACTGAACCTAGATTTACTGATTCAGCTAGATTGGCGGTGGTGGGCTCCCAGGAACTGTCTTTGTCTGCCTCACAGGTCTGGGAGTACAGATACACCTGTTTCTAATGTGGTGCTGGGGACTCAAATTTAAGTCCTGGTGTTTGCATGGCAAGTACTTTACTGACTGGGCCATCTCCCAGCCCCTTATGAAGCTTTTAAGTGCATCATGCATTATTGTTGACAATAGACCAATGCCTCACAAATTTCTTGAACTCACTCATCTTGTGGGTGAGTGTGCTCTCCATGTGCTCCAGAGCTACCTGCAAAACCAAAACTTGATTACTCTTGAATCCTTCCCCCATCCCTCTCCCTGCAGACCCCATCCCACCTCTGTTTCTATGAGTTTGATGATTTTAGATGCTTCATAAAGAAGTGGAATCATGTAGTATTTCTTTTCTTTTCTGTACCCATTTCATGCTACTACATGTAGAATGGTGTCTTCAAGGTTCATCCATTTTGCTATTTATTGACAAATTTACTTAGATTTTAAAGGCTGGATAATACATGCATATACCCATTTTCTTTCTTAATTTTGCATTTCTTATTGGCATGTATAGATTATACATAATAGATTTCACTATGACATTTTCATACATGCATATAAAATATTTTATCATATTCATCCCCTATTACACTCTCTTGTCCCCATGTCACTCCACATGATCTACTTCCTTTTCCTAGTAGCTCCCCTTTTGCTTTCATTTCCTTTTTTATTTTCCCTAATGACCAGGGAGTCTCAGCAGAGCTGTGTACAGAAGCACAGGCCCCTTACCAGTGGCCGTACCACTGAAGACGATGTTCCTCCCTTTCCCAGAACATTATTGCCAGTAAGTCTTCATAGAGGACTGGGACCTTCAGAGTCGGAGCCTCTTCTCCCAGCTACCATTAAATACCATTAAAATGTCATCAAGGAAGGGTAGGGCCTTGTGAGATTCCATGACACAACATTGGTGGGTGAGGTCTTTCTTAGGTAAGTCATCACAGCAGTTAAGAGCTCATGAGTGCAGTGACCATGTCATGTTTGGGACACAGTTTTCTGTATCACACCACTCCATCCTCTAGCTCTTGCATTTTTCCTGCCTCTCTTTGATGTTCCTTGAACTTTGAAAGGGATGATGTAAATGACCCATTATGACTAAGCATTCAGTAATCATTTATTTATACCCATTTTCTTTATTAATTCATCTGCTAGTGTTCAGATTGCTAGAGAACACTTTTTGTTGAGGTAATTGTAGATTTGTATGTAGCTGTAAGAAATAATACAGAGAAAGATTGTCCCTGTTTTTATCCCAGGGTGATCTTTCAGATCTACAGTGTCTGATCACAAGCAGGACATGGCAGACAGGCCCTGGTTTACAGCTTAAGCAAAAGCACAGAGTTGATGGTTACTGGCCACCTCTCAGATGAACCCTCTGTTAGATGGATCTCCATGGCATCCTCTTGGGGCAGAGGTCAAGCCTCCACTGTGGAAGACACACCCACTGGTTGTATGAGTGGCTGAACTGAAGGACCTGGCACATGACAGGCTGGCTTTTCTGTGGGTGTGGGATCAAAGCCCCACCCTGTGATGCTTGCAGTTGGAAATCCTGGAACAGCTGTCAAGATGACCATCATCTATGACTTGTTTATCACAGTCCTGTGCGAATGGCCCTCCTTCCTTGTGAATGAGAACAGTCTCCTATTGTTTCCTGCCTGGCTCGGATGTGGTTGATGAAATTTGTTTTAAGTTTCTTGGTCTTTTTTACCCTACTTTCTCCTTCCTGTAATTTGTAGATAAGTTACTGGTATTGCTTCATTTTTACCAGCAGACCTCTCACAAACCCAAACCAAAATTGGAGAGAAGCAGAGGGGAGACAGAATTATTCTGAAGGGCTATAATTTAGGGTTAAATTTAACACACATCAGCATAGGCATCTAAATGTCTAATTGACATTCCTGTGCATCACCATCATATGGCTCCTGCTGAGGACCAGATCTCTCTGGGATTCTGATGCAGAGCATGCATCAGAGGATGCATGCTGTCTTAGTTACTTTTATTTTGCTATCAAGAGATAGCATGACCAAGGCAACTCATAAAAGAAAGCATTTATTTGGAGGCTTGCTTACAGTTTCACAAGGTTGGTCCATGAACATCATGGCAGGGAGCAAGGCAGCAGGCAGGCAAATAGAGCACTGGAGTAGGAGCTGAGAGCTTGTGCTTTATCTGCAAGTTGGAGGCAGAGAGAATGAGACTAGGACTGGTGTGGGCTTTGAAACCCAAAGCCCACCCTGCAGTGACACACCTTCTCCAATAAGGCCGCACGTCATAATCCTTACTAAATCATTCCCTAGGTGGGAACTAAATATTCAAATATATGAGCCTATGGGGGCCATTCTCATTCAAACCACCATACATGCCCAAGAAGCTAGGCTCTTCCAATGTTTGCAAAGTGAGTATGGGTTAAAATTGGGAGTGTGCCTCATTCAGATACAGTGTCACTATATAGTCCAGGCTGTGTAGCACAGGCTGGTTGGTCTTGGGTTCATCATCTTTCCAATTTAACTTCATGAGTGCTGGAATTACATGTGTGTGCCACCATGCCCTGCAGAGTATTTTTAAGAAAGAGATCTTTTTCCATCTTTCCAATGGTACAACTTCCTTAGTCCTTGCATCCCTTCTACATGCACCCCATGACCTCACTGCCTTCCCACCCTTGTGAGCACAGAGGCCTGTGCTAGATAGTCAAGGGTACTCAGTGTGGGAGTAAAGTCACATAGGCTCTTTTGGCTTTATCGTGAAGACTCTCAGAGCAGGGAGTCACTTTTGAGTCCACCCTGTGAGGTTTGGAAGAGCCTCAGAGTGAGCTGTTTCTTATGTATCCTACATGCAGAGATAGCCAAGTGCTCTGAAGCAAAACAGCATTAGTGCCTCAAGTCCTAGATGTCGTGGTTTGAATTCATGTGCATCTCCAGGCTTCAATCTCATTGAATGTACAACTAGAA